CACCGCCTTTGGTGTTTGAAGCCTGGTCCCTTTGGCCCTTCATGATCACACATGTTGGTGTGCTGCTTCCATGTGGGCTTTGTTGCTTCAGGGCTAACGAATTTATTTTTTAAAAATACTGTGTTATTAATATGTGCCAGGAAACAAAGCAGACGGGATTATCCCTAATTCTCACAATTCACGGAGAAAATAAGTTGCTAAACAAATGATGAATTCTAGTTAGGACGAGCCTCTTAAAAGCTCGAAACTTTGACTGGATGGGTACAATTGGAATCCAAGGGGGCTCTACAGGAATGCTCCACACCTTACTGCCCATGAGTCACATCATAGTGACCCTAAAGAGCAGTGATTCTCAACCTTCCTAATGCGGTGACCCTTTGTACAGTTCCTCATGTGGTGGTGACCCCCAACTATAAAATCATTTTCATTGCTACTTCATAACTACAATTTTGCTACTGTTATAAATTGGGTGACCCCTGTGAAAGGGTCCTTCGACCCACAGGTTAAGAACCACAGCTATATATGGTTTCTGAGACCGTAATTCTTCTTAGGAGCAGACAGCCTCATCTTTCTCCCGTGGAGTGGCTTGTGGGTTTGACTGCTGACCTTGTGGGTAGCTGGCCAGTGCTTAACCTCTAGTGCAACCAGGACTCCTTGCTAACAAAAGTTTAAACTAGAGCCTAATGAAAAAATCAAAATTTTGGTGGGTTTAAAGCAAGAGAGAGAACAGATATCAGATTTAGATTGCTCTAGTTAGGGTGTAGGAGCACTGGTAGGCTTAGTGGGTTACACACTGGGTTTTTAACCACAAGGTTAGCAGTTTGAAACTATGAGCTGCGCCACAGGAGAAAGATGAGGTTTTCTACTTCCATAAAGATTTACAGTCTTCAAAACCCACAGGGGCAGTCCCACTCTGTCCTGTCCTGTCCTGTGTGGCTATGAGTCAGAAGTGGCTTGATGGCCTATGCATTTGTAGTTTTTAGCTGTGATGGGGAGAAAAAATTGTTAAGAAAAAGATTAATAAAAGAAAAGAGTAGAAGCCGAGACAGAAACCAGGACATTGTTTTAGTACACTCTAGATGACAGGATGAAAGAAGCTGATAGGGTTAAGAGATAAATGAAAATTTTCCAAATTAGCTAATTTGACCAATTTATCAGCCAAAAAGGTTTATACATGTGACTTGAAATTTTAAGTTTTACAATCAGTTTTAATAAAATGTTATAGATAGGAGGCATAACAATAGAGTAGGACTACCAATTTATACATAAATCATATAAAAAACTAATCGTTCCCAATAAAAGATTAAAAACAAAACTAATCATTAACTTCGTAATTAGAATAAAAGTTTAGAGTTTACTTCTTACCACTTTACTGAAACTGAAAATAATTGTATACTTGAATTTTTAAAATAACTATATATATTTTAATATTATAAGCATTATCTCAGTTACATATAAATTTGAATGAAGGGCTTACATGTCCTCCCATGGATATGCCGGTCATTCCTAGAGGCCCATAGCCCTCCCTCTCCAGCCAGTGTAAGAGAGCTGCAGATTCTAAGACAAGAGCTCCGCCCATCACAAAAAGGTCAGAAACGTTCTTTAAGCTGGACCTTCTAGCCTCACAAAATAAAATAGAAAAGGCATTATTTTCTGCATTGATATTTTAATATATGCAAATTTATAAGCAGCTAGACTTCATGCTTTTCTCTTAAAGGACCACATCGACTAAAGTAAAATAGAACAAAGTAATTCAGAAAGTTGCTAGCATTGTTCTACTTATTAATCACTGAAAACATTTTTAAAAATGTGTATTTGTCATATGAAATCATCTGTCCTCAATATTTATTGAACATCAACTAGTTAAATAACAATTTTTTACTTGATACAACTTAAAAACTATTAAAATATTAGGATGTTGACTTCAAAAAGTTTGTGGAAAAATTAAATGCAAAAATGTAACACAAAAAACCCAAAAAAACAAAAAACAAACAAACAAAAATAATCTAACACAATTTTCACCCAAAATTTTTGAAGGCTTTCACAGTTATAGTAAAGCAGTATTTTTAACTGATAATCTCTTTAGTGGAATTATCACTATTTTTGTTTTAAATTATCACTATTGATAAAAGAAAAAACAAATTTTCTCCTTAAGAAATTTAAATTACAATAGAATTTAAATCATGAAACAAAGAAAAAAAGCAATACGGAAGAACTTATTTGATGTGATTATGATATGTTATATGGGCTGATATGTTAAATATATTTATTTTTGGTAAATAAGCAATGTATGAATATTAGAAAAACAAATTTTGATAGAAGTACTTGTTTGATAAGTTTAAATAAAGGCCAACTCCAACTGGTTTTGTTTTGTTTATTGAGAAAATTAATTATTTACATAGAGGTATACCTAATTAAAACAAAGGACTAAACTCATCCAATCAATTCCAATTCAAAGTAACCCTACAGGACACAGAACTGCCCCTTTGTGTTACCAAGGCCATAAATCAGGCTTTTTATCACTGTATGCTTACATAAAATAATTATGTTAAATAACCTGGTGCCATAAGAACACCAACGTGAGAAAATGAGAATGCTGAGGAGCCCGAATCTATTGTCCTATCAATCCTTCTCAGAGTTCTAAAGTTTGGAGACATTGTTTCTCTTGATTGAAACTATAGTATCCTTGATTGAAACTATAGTATCCTTTGTCCACACCGGCCAAACTACTGCTACATCAGAAAAGTACATTTATCCTTATGTTATTTCCTATCATCAAGCTAATTTACATGTGTGATTACATATTGCCCTATTTATTTTGGCCTAGTCTAGAAGTCTTGAATTCTCAAATTTACTCCAATTTGCTCTTTCATATAGACGTTCTTAATTTGTGGCTATTCATAATGATGGATCTAGCCTCAAATTGTTTAACCACTTTTGATAAAGATGGCTTTTTAAAAGTAACTATTTTTGGTTTAATGTAAGATATTTCTTATTTATGATGATTTGAAAAATTATAAATAAAATGTCCATTTAATAAATGAAGTAACAAATACTGAGAGGCCAAAGTCATAGAGTTGGCAAATGATAAGTTACAATTCCAACCTATGTCTGTATAATTCCAAAATTAGAATATTTCATTAATCCCATGCTACCTCTCTCACTATAACTCCATATACTCTTGTTTCTCATCACATAGATAGGAAATGGTAAATACTGACACACTCATTTCTGAATTCAGGGCTTGGTTCCAGAGTATAAGTTCTTGAACTATTTAACTTGAACTTTAATTTTTCACAAAGTTCCATAGAGTTCATTCTAAAATGTCCTTTAGAGGCTGTACATCACTCTCTCTCCCACCTACTTTTAAGTTATCTCTACGTCATCACCACATAGACCAGATGGCTCCCAGAGCTATGCCTTAAGCACTCTCAAATTCCCTACTTGAAGTTCTAACAGATATTTAACACATCCAAATCAGAACTTCTTATTTCCACGTACAATATCCAATTCATCAAGTCTCATGACTTCAACTTCTAAATTATATCCCACACCCTTTATACGAGTCTCCATTTCCATTTTGCCACTTTATTATCTTTTCTCTACATTATCTTTTTAAATCTTTCTTTCCCCTAGATTGCTGGGGAAACAGCTTCCTGTTTCTTCAGCTGCTGTTCTTGCCCTCATAGAAAGATAAGGCTTTCTACTCTTGTAAAGATTTAGTCTCGGAAATGCATAGGGGTAGTTTTACCCTGTGTCCTATGGAGTCACTATGAGTTTGAATCGACTAATAGCTGTGAGTTGGCTTTTTGGTTTGCTCCTGCCCTAAAAAAACAAAATACCCTTTAAAAATGTAAGCCAAATAACCTAGAGAGAACATAAACCACACCACTCCACTGGCACTTTACAGTTAAATCGAAAGCTGGTGGCCTTCATAATCTGGTCCTTACTTAACTCTCTGACCTCATCTTGTATGACTGTCCCCATTGACCTGTCCAGCTGACTTCAAGCTTGTTACTTGCTCTTACCTCTCTGTGTTTCATCTTCACCCAGGTCTCTACTTGGGTGGTTCCTTCTTGTCACAGCTCATAATTAATCGTGCTTCTGCTCAGCACTTCTTATTGCTCTCTAAACTATGGCCCTGCTTTATTTTCTACATGGCACTGAAAAATACCTGAAATTATCTTACTGTTTTTATCCATCTCCCATATTAGAATCTGAGAGTAAGGACCTCCTTGTCTCATTGTTGCTATATTCCCAGTGTATTTATTGGGTCATGTATTTATTGAATGAACCAAAACCAAACACAGTATAGATTTTGGAAATGCAATTAAAGAATGTTGTCTTAAAAGTTCATTATTATTTATAAAAGACTAGAAAGGATAATCTTATCAGATTTTCTACACTATGCATTGTAAAAATAAAAATAGTAAGGTATCTAATTTCACAAAGTAAAATAAATATATCTTTGAAAGGAAAAATTTATCTTTTCTTCAGTTAGTCTAAGTGGGCATTTTAAATCAACCTACTAAAATTTGCTATTATATCTCCTAGCCAGACATTAAAATACAAAGAAATTTTAAGTTTGCATTTTACTGTAGTTTGATAATAAGATTTCCCCTCCCTCAACAACATTAGGCTATTCAACTTGGAAATGGCTAACGGAAGGCTACCCAAATGCTTATTATTGTTTGGGACTTGGTAAAAATAACTACAAAAGTGAAAGATATTAATTACTTACACTTGGTCCTTTGGTTTCCTGCAGCCATTTAAGAATGTAGGTCAAAGAGAAAGTTGTTTAAAAATTATATATACTCCTTTATCTCAAAACCCATGAACTTAATCAAAGCAAAAATTGGGAGACTTACATACTAACTTTAACTTAAATTAATACAGAAATAACCTTTCTATTTATTTTAAGTAGGTTGTTTAGAAGGTCTCAGGTTTTCAACTTAATTTTTTCCTAAAGAACTTTAATCAGAAAAAAATCACATATCTAACAATTTACCCATTCAAAGTATACACTTCAACTTTTTTAAAGTATATTCACAGGATTGTGCAAACTTCCATTTAATTTTAAAATGAAGTTTGTTGGTTTGGTTTCTTTAATTTTATATAGTCATGTTTTTATATAGTCATATTTATATAGTCATTTACAAAATCTGAAAATAAAGAAAAACGGACAGAAGACAGACAGTATATTAACATGGTGGTGTATTCTTTGCCTTTATTTTCCTTTTGTATAGATAGTTTCTGTTTGGGATTTTTTTTTAAGGTTTTAATGCATAGCAGCAATGTACTATATCATAAATTTTTATGTCCATTTTTTCACATCATGAATACATTTTGTACATTACTATAAAAATCTAAATAACTAGTGATTAAAACTTTCTGAATGCTTACTATTTACTAGCCACTGGTACACACAGTGGAGCCCTGGTAGTATAGCGGTTACGGGTTGAGTTGTGATCCACAAGGTCAGCATTTCAAAACCAGCTGTCCTCAGGAGAAAGATGGGGCTTTCTACTCCTGTAAAGAGTTACAGTCTTGGAAACTCACAGAGGCAGTTCTACTCTGTCCTATAGGGTCACTATGTGTTGACTTGACAGTAAAGGTTTGTATTTTTTGTTTCTTATCGCAGGATTGAATATTTAATCCTCTGAGTAATTTAAGAAATTGTTCTCATTTACCAGTGAGAAAACAGACATACTAAAAGATTAAATATTAGATCCAAGGTCATATAGGTAGTATGTGGAAGGTCAAGCTCTTGTATAATACTTCAATATCACGATCCCTTAATTTACTCAAACATTTCTCTACTGTAGATAGGTAAGCAATTTCTAGAAATAAAGCTATATAATATGTTAATTTTCTCTTTTCTAAATATCTTATCCTGAAAATCAAAATCATTCTGCCGAAGGTTTCTGAGATTTAAAAAAAAGTTTTATTGACATATAATTCACATATCATGCACTTATGTAGTTAAGGCATATCATAAAAAGTTACACAATCACTCCCACAATCAGTTCCAGAACCTGTTGTTTTTTAAGGCTCCTGATACATATAGTAAAAATGCCTTCTCCAAAAACTTTCATAGTTATCATTACAGGAGCCTCATCAGTTAGTTCTATGTTTAATTTTTTAAATCTTTGCAAAATTTTTCTTTAATTTCTACATTTCTATTACCATAAATGTTGAATTGTTCTTTTTATCTGTGCATCAGTTTCATTTCTTCTTCTGTGAAAAGTCTGACTTCATCTTGAAAATTAAGTTAAGAACTGTTTTAAACCTCAACCGATACTATTAATTAATTTAAAATTACAAAGGTTTCCCTAAATTGTAGGCACTTAACTGATTAATACTAAAATCTAACACATCTCTCACCAGATATAAAAGTACAATATATTTTTTATAATCCTTATGTTGTTTTTTAAGGCCTTAAACAATCTTTCACTTCTTCTTACTCTTACTTATTAAGTATTTTCTCTATAAATCACTAAATTTTGCTAGTTTAGAAATTAACTTTCCTTTCTTTTGCTGACTAAATAGATACGAGAAAACATTTCTTAGTGATCACAAAAGGATATAATAAGGATTTTCTAATAACAAAGAAGCCATTCGGGCTTCTTTAATCATAGGGCGAGCCATGAGTGTTCTTCGTCTCCAATAATGCTAAGGGAAGAAAAGAGGGCATAATTAAAGACTAAAACAACCACATCTGATAAGGAGAATATGTTAACACACTGTTTATGGAATAAGGTATTAAGTCTTACATGATCTCCTGTTCCAGCAAGATGAATACACACTGGTCTGTATTTGCTGTTCCATTCTTTAGGCACAATAAATTGGAATCTAGTTTTTAAAAAGTGAAATTATCATTAAAAGGCTTTTTGGGAAAAAAAAAAAAAGGCTTTTTGGGAATGATGATGGCAAAAAATGTACAAATGTGCTTGACATCAGGGACGTATGTATGAATTGTGGTAAGAGTTGTACCAGCCCCTAGTAAAATGACTTTAAAAAGAAAAAAAGAGAAAATAATAATGGCAAATATGTACAAACATGCTTGATACAATTTATGTATGGATTGTTTTTTTGTTTTTTTGTATGGATTGTTATAAGAGCTGTATGAGCCCCAATAAAATGATCTTTTAACAACAACAAAAAAAGGCTTTCAATAAAATTTTAAAAGTGTTTCATAAATGAAATTACTTGAGAGAAAAGACTATTCAGGATTTGGAAGTTTAAATTACAATGGACTCATTAAACTAATTATAGGTTTCCAAGATGTTGTTTACCTTCAGACTGCCAAGAAGTGATAGCAATTGGTCTACAGCACAAGAAGACAAGAATCTTCCCATGAGCTGACAGGTCCCTAATCTGGACTTGTAACCTCCTCAGGTGTGAGGACATGAAGTCCTCCACTGGGGGTGATACGTCTGAGAAACGAAGGTATTGTTATATAAAGTCCCCTTAAGGTATTTGTTACAGCAGCACTAATTGGCTCACTGAAATATTGGCCCACTTTTTTTATCCCCCTGTAGGATGTCACTTCTGTTTTAAATTTCCTTAGCAGGTGATATTTTAAAATCAGTATTATACTTGGCTACAGTATTATACAATAATGCTGTATTCAAATGCTAAGCTTATGTTGCATGGACTCCAACAAACTAAAAGCGAAACCACTGCTGCCAAGTTGATCTATATGTTTAGAGACCCTATAGGGCAGAACAGAAAGGCTCCATAGGATTTCCAAGGCTATAAATATTTACAGCATCAGAACAACTCATTTCCATCTTAGGATGTGGCTGTGGACTCAAACCGCTGACCTTTTAGTTAGCAGCCCATCACTAACCTACTGTGTGACCAACGTAGAAGATGATTTATCAATAGTTCTCTATTGTCAAAAGAAATGATTGAATAGAACACAGATAATCACATTTAGGATGGTTTGATTATTATTTATTTACTGCTCATGAAAAGTAAAATTTCAATCTCATAAATCAGACTAGCAGTGTTAACACTCACCTTCATTTTGTGTTTTCAGCACTATTTTTACTGCGATCTTAATGCTTTTGGAGAAATGGAAACATTAAAGATTGTTTTTTAGTAGAGCTATGTAGACAGTGACTGCATTGATGGTTTCTTGAGGAGTACAGTGGGGCAGCTGGGTGGAGGCAGAGAGCTGATTGATGACAATGAGTACAAGGAAGAAGAACACGTGCTATAAGTGATTGTGGAGATGATTATATAACTCTTTTTAATAAGACTGAACTACTGAATTGTATATGTGAACTATATGCGAGTAAACGGTTTTTGAAAAGTAAGAAGCCAAAGAACTGTGAAGCAGAAAGCAGCCAGCACTCAGACCTAGAGGAGGATAGATGCGGTACCACGTGAAGACCACAGAGGACCAAGGAACAGGGCCTTCCCTCAGAGCCAACAGTGAGAAAGCCTCCCCCAGAGTCAGCATCCTGAATTTGGACTTCTAGCCACCTAACTATGAGAAAATAAATGTCTGTTTGTTAAAGTCAATAAGTAAAGAAATAAAACCTTTTTCAGTAGAGCACTGGATCTCTGCCATTATTTGTGGTTTCTACTTGCCATACAACAATGTACAAAGGTCTTAAAAAGCTTGTGCAAAAATGCCATTCTCTTTTAATTCCATTCATTCATGAACTTTTTGAAGCCCTCTTGTATTACTAGCTATTAATATGAATTTTTTACTACAGTACTAATTGCCACCCATTGTGATAAACCACTTGGAGGTAGACATGTCTAATGTCCTCTGGCTTCTCTATTTGCCACAGGCAGAAGTCAGATATGCCTCCGTGGTCAATCCTTGACCTGTTCTCACATCAACTGTTGTCCCACACCACTGTACATCTGTGCTGAATTTGACAATTCAATGCAATGGTCGCAGAACTTAAGGGCAATATTTACAATTAAGAGGGGTTTTTAGGGATGTTAATAGGTTACCACAAGTCAGGATCCAGTCATTGCTTTCCTTAGTCAGCAGTTAAGTCTCCCTGACTCTTAATCTCTCAGGCATGTGGTGCCCTAGGCCTTTGCCTCCATGGGCCAAGAAGATAGCCAGCCTGTCACTCTGTCCCACAGTTCCAGTCTCCGGCCAGATAAAGAGAAATTACCCCATAGTCCCTGTGCTGCTCCTCTGAGTCTCCATGCCACAGTCTGTGAGGTATCCGGTCTTGGTAGCCTCTGCCACTTCAGACAGAGATCTTGAAATGCTCTTTCAAGGTCCTCTGGGTCTCTTTCCTCTCTACTGCTGCTTGAAGTCTGGGGTGGTAAGGAAAACTGACCAATCCCCTCTTAGAGTTACACATGCCCTATGTGCACAGTGCTACCTAATCATTTAGTAGAAGTTTCAGGGATGTGGGTGGAAGAGCCTTATCAATAAGTTTCACTCCACCACATCCATAACATATAGGATGTGTCACTAATCAGTTGTCTGTCTAGTTTATGTTGTCTTCTCCTAGAATCTTTTCCAATGCCCCCTAAGGAATGGACACAGGCCACGTGACAGGTTTGGAATGGACTAAATAAGGGTAAGGGAATCTGCTTTTGTGGTAATCTGGAATTGGAGGAGAATCTAGATTGCTTCTGTTCCATTTTTGGACATGGAGATTCTGTGGATACTGTCAGTTGCTTTTATAAGTTGCATGAGAAAAAAACAAACAAACCTAGCCTACACACCACAAAGAGAATGACCAGACAGAAGAGAAAAGGGACTATGAAGCATTTCAATTGATTCAGAAAAGGCATTTGATAAAATCCAACATCCTTGCCTGATAAAAATTCTCAGTAAAATAGGAATATTTTATAAAATAGGAATATAAAATAGAAAACGGAGGGTGGGGGAGGGGAGAATGAGGAGCTGATATCAAGGGCTCAAGTAGAAAGAAAATGTTTTGAGAATGATGATGGCAACATATGCACAAATGTGCTTGACACAATGGATACATGCATGGATTGTGATAAGAGCTGTAAGAGCCTCCAATAAAATGATTTTTTAAATAAAGAAATAAAATAGGAATAAAAGGGAAAGTCCTCATCATAATAAAAGGCATTTATACAAAACCAACCAACAGCCATCATTGTGTGTGTGTGATTGCGAGACACAGAGAGAGAAAATCTAAAACATTTCTCTTGAGAATGGGAACCAGATAGATGCCCTTTATCCTTGCCCTATTCAACATTGTACTAGAAGTCACAGCTAACGCATTAAGGCATGAAAAAGAAATTAGAGGCATTCAAATTGGTAAAAAAGTAGTAAAAGTATCCCTATTTATACTTGATAGGAGCCTCTATTTAGAAAATTCTCAAGAAAGCTACAGAAAATAATAGATTCAGCAAAGTAGATGAGTATAAAATCAATATACAAAAAATCAGTGGGATTTCACTACATAACAAAGAGAAATTCAAAAAAAACAAAAAAAACAAAAACAAAAAAACAAACAAAGAGAAATTCAACAAGGAAATCACGAATGCAGTATCATTTACAATAACAACCCCTAGAGATAAAATACTTAGGAATAAATCTAACTAGGGACATAAAATACCTATCCAAAGAGAACTATAAAACACTACTACAAGAAATCAAAAGAGCCACATAAACAACACATATCATGCTGTTGGACAGAAAGACTTGGCAATGTAGAAAGACCCATTTCACAATGTTAATGAGCTGTACATAATGAAATCCTAATCCAAATACCAGCAGCATTCTTTAATGAAATAGAAAAGTTAATCACCAATTTTACATGTAAAAGAAAGAGGCCTGGTATAAGTTGCTAAAGAACAAAAGTAGGAGGCACTGTGCTATCTGATCTCAGGTGGTTAACAAACACATGAAGAAATGCTCTAGATCATTAGCCATTAAAAAGATGCAAGTCAAAATTACAATGAGATACCATCTCACTCCTATAAAAAATGGCATTGGTTAAAAAAAATACACACAGGAAAAAAACAGAAAAGAGCTTATGCTGGTGAGATGTGGGAAGGCTAGAACTCTTGTAAGCTGTGGTGGAAATGTAAAGTTGTATAGTGGAAGGTAGTATTCGTGCCTCCTTAAAAAGCTAGAAAAGGAAATATCATATGATCCAGTAATACCACTCCTAGGTATACACTCTAAAGAAATAAGAGTCATGGCACAAATAGACATATGCATACTCACATTCATTGCATCATTATTCAGGACAGCAAAAAGGATGAAAACAACTTAAGTTTCCATCAATGAATGAATGGCCACATAACATGGTACATACAAACATGGAATATATTCAGAAACAATGAAGAAGCTTGAAATATCTCACAATACGGGTGAATTTGGAGGACATTATAAATTAAATAAGTCAGTCACAAAAAGAAAAATATTGCATGAGACAACAATTTTAACGCAAAGTTTTTAAGGAAAAATTTTTTTACTACACTTGATCTTAGCCAAATGGCTGAGTAGCGATGGGGAAAAACTATTTTTTAAAATACCCCAAAACATTATTTGATGGTTATCAGGATGAGAGGGTGAGAAAGGGAAAATTACTAAGTAGCAAATACATATAATAGCTAATAATAACAAAGCTAATAATAATAATAGCAAAGGGAAATAATAATAATAGCAAAGGGAAAGGCAATATACCATATGAGGGACATGTCACAGACAACATGACCAAGGGCAATGAAGATACTGGGAGCAATACAAGAATAAAGGACAACTAAGATAACTACTATGATAAAAACTATCTTGTAGCAATAGTACTAAAAAAACAATTTATAAATGGATATCACAGAGGTGTGAGAGAGTGTAAGGGAGTACACCTACTGCAGATACAGGTTTG